TGATTTGTTGTGTAGTCATTCTTGTTATGTAATCTTAGCAATTGAAATTTTGCTTTTATCATGTAACCCTTCAGTGACAGCAGCCATGGCGTCCTACCCTGTGGATGGGGAGATTTGAATTCCCAACTAGGGGAATGGCCCATTGCAAATAATAAGCTATAAAAGTAGCAGTATTCATCTTGTATAAGTTAAATATGATTCCTGATGACCCTAAACATATGAAAACAACTCAAAATGAATTATGTGGTCCTGATGCTGTCAGTCGGCATGGCACTGATGTGTTCTGTGCAGCCTGGATACAGTTTTGTAATATTTTCCACCCTGCATGATAAAATTGTTACCATGTAAGTTTAAATTTTTGCTTGTTTGTAAGTGAATAGTTAATAAAAATAACAAATCTAAGTATTTCTTAAAGAAAATAACTAAGTAATATGTGAATCTGTTTGCATATAATTTTTATTGATTTAACATGTAGTTTCAATAAGTTATCCTCATTTATAATTCAGTGGCCCACAACTTGATGATAAGAAAGGTTGAGTGTGGCCCTTGAAAGGATGGGAACCCATGGGAGTTGTTGCAATAAATGGTGATTTAAGTCATACATACTAACATTGTTTCTGTTTTAAAACATCTTATAAATATTGTCTCACAATTTGGAGAAAATTCTGGAGAAATACAGTTTATAATTCATTTTAGAATTTACATTGACAAAGCAATTTTATGCCATACCAGTGAACTAGCTTTTTAACGGTCTATATGGACAGGTTAGAACATCACTATGTGTACATTTTGTAGACTGCAACGATTAAGGAAGACATTTTGTAGTGCAGTTTGAGTCATATCTAATATATTGTTATGTCCTTGTACCATCAAAGTTATTAATGCCACTACATAAACACTATAATTGATCATGAATTATCATGTTAATAGCTTCATTAACACACAAAGGAGCATAATTTAAGTTTTGTGAATTCTTATCACAAAATTTATATTTCTCCAGACATGAGGTTGATATTAAATTTCAAGTAAGTTCACAGTTTCAGTTGTCTTGCAGAATTCTACAGACAGATACCTGATCTTTTCCATGTACAGAGGCTGGCGTCTTAGATAAAACTGAGGTCTGTGCCAGGTATGGATGCCGGAGTTGAAGGGTTACAACGTCATGTTGTCTTATATCGATGTTCCTGTTACGCTTGTTTGTATGCTTGACAGTTGAGCTCAGTAACACCATTTAAATCCAGTCCACATTACAAAAATCTGTTTTGTTAAATCCAGTTGTAATAATTTTCTGCCATTTATATTTTGATTTCCATGTGGTCACTTGTATCAAGATTTTCTGTACTAAAACTCTCTTTTTCTGAGGTACATATCCAGCTAATGGCATAATTAATTAAATTCCTCGTTATATTCTACCGAAGCCTAATTACTTTAATTGAATGTCCTTAGTTCTGTATTCATTGGTTGTCTTGACTGTTGTTTACAGGAAGGAAGTAAGGAAAGTGCAGTGGCTCACTTAGCAGAAGAACTCTACCACAAGCTGAACTCTGTAGACTGTTTCAGGGATGATTTAATAATCGACAACAGGTGCAATATGACTATTGGCAAACGCCTGTTTGAGGCACAGAAAGTCGGTTATCCATTGATTGTTGTGATAGGCCGGAAGGCATTGCAACCCACGCCTGAGTTGGAAGTTTATCACACTCTGATGGACAAGGAGACCAGCATCAACAAGACTGACATGATTCCATACTTGAAAGAATGCCTTCTCAATAAATAGAAAGTGTTTGATGTTTTGTGATTTTGCTCTAGTCCTCTCTAGTTCACAGCTACCAGCAATCTAGTGAAGATGAGACGTCCTTTTGAATCCACTTTCCCTGTGAATGGTTCGAGAAACCAGGAATTTTAATGATCCAAGTTGTTGTACCATGCAGAATTGTATCCCCTGAAACTTGGCACACAGCAAAACAACACTGGAGATCATCAGTAATCCTTTGGTAGTTTCCATTGAGATGCCTCATGCACTGCTTCCATCTTCATTTTGGTTTGGACAACATATCTTGAAAATATATGAATACTTGTCCATCTATAGGATTTTTTTAAAAGTGTATGGTTAATCTTAAGTTTTGCATATTAAAATGTTTGTAAAAGGACAGGTAATTTTATGCCTTTCCTATTGCTTGTATTGGTTTCATCACAGCTGAAAATAGCATGCGAGATGTAAACCATAAGGTTTGTTTGAGTTAACTCTTTGATGTTTGCATAAAAAAACAGTAATGCACCATTTGAACTCCAGTGACCCTTGGGTATACACTCACTGGTAAAATATTACAGGAATTCCATAAAGTGATGAATCAGGAATAAGTTTCACAATTTTAGAAAGTGGGTTGTCTTGTCAAATAATTTCATTCAATTTTTGTAGCTTTTTGTTTTCTGGTCAAATTGAATACTACTGTGGGGTCGACAAACATGGCTGGACTTCCCATCAGTTCTTTGAGTGATACTTCAATGTCTGTGCCATTCCTCAGGGTATGTATAGAAATCTTCATCTGAAACCTGAGTGGTGTTTCGTGTGATAAACATCTATCTTGTTCACTAGTGGCCTATCCATCAGAAACGGCGTGCTGTTCTAGAAGCAGCTCATCCGTCCTAATACTGATTACGCATGAGTGATCTGGAGGTCAGCTGCAAGTGTTGCAATGCAAGTGTCTTGGTACGTACGTTAGTAACGGACAAATTCATGAGGATTTTGGGATCCTGCTCTTCACTGACCACATCAGAGCACTGACTGATACCTTTGACTCAAACTTAGCTGGTATAGGGAGCCCCTTAGTCTGAAAACTCAGGAGGCACCTGTACCGACCAAGGGCTGACAGAGGTCACCCATGGGCATCTGGTGGTAATTGATGTCCAGCAGGCCAGCTGAGGCTGTCCCTGAAAAGACAGCCAAGTCAGTGCAATGAGTGGTCTGCCTACTTGGCTACCTTGACTGAGGTTTTCTGTGCTTTTTCTCAGATGTAAGTCAAATGCCAGGGTAAAATTCAAGAGGGGCACAGCCTGCTATCCCCAATCACGGAGGCCTTCAGCTGAAGTGATCCCCCCCCAAGATGCAGAGGCGTTCAGCCGAAGCGATCCCAACCCCTCTAGGTTCAAACCCCAGAGAACCAAGCAACCAAAATCCTTTGCACAAAGGAAACGTTGCCTGACAGGATAACCTCTCATCAGCAGCAACAAACCCTAGTTTAAATAGTCGAAGCTCCAGCAGAAACGGTGTTACCTAGCAGGGGACAATGTCTGGCGCTTGTGCAGGACTTCGCCCTTAGCTTTCGGTTAGTTGGTCGGTCACAAAACATCCCGCCTGGTCCTACCGCATGGAAAACTGAAAATAACACATTTCAAGCATTTTATATTTTATTATTAGAACGTATAAAGAATCAAGGTGGCAGTTCATATCAGATGGCTGCACGTATTTCAAACATTGGAATTCTACCTATTATTTTAAACATATATAACTCGACTTATTCTACTTCAACAGGTAAATATGTAGGAGCATTTTTATTATTGGTTTTGAAGTTCTGCATATTGTTTATTCAAGTCTGTTGCTTCTACAACCAGATCTTCAATGCGTAGGTTGGTACCTTGAAAGGTTTTGCCAATTGTACTAAGTTTTCTTTGGTAATGCGTACCAATTGTGTTTTAAAGTTATATTCCAAACAAATGTGCGGTATCAGAGCTGCCTGTTAAATGACATGTTTCTATGTGACCTCTTTAAAAAGTGCAAATGATAAAGGGGTCTTTCCCCAAATATATAAAATATTAGTAACTATATTACGGCTATTAGTTCATGACCATGCATGGCTTGACAGAAAATCAGACCTGAGCATATTCGAAATTGGGGATGACACTTTCGGAAGGGTGTTGTAAATTACGAAGAACTGCTAGAATTATTGTGTAAACATAGTCTTAAGTTCAAGACTTATGTTGTTTACTCTTTGATGCAGCATAAATCCGAGGAATTAAATTAGATACCGAGTCTTCCTCGAACGACCGAATTGCCTGACTCTTTTGCCGTCTTCTTGTGCGTGCGAAACGCCCGGATCATTTGCCAAGGTAAATTAATGCCGCCTCGCGCTTAAAATGCCGCGCATTATAAACACGTATGTGCATTTCTGAAAGTAAATACTTTGTTTAAAAGATCACCATCACAGTAGATGCTCAAAATGTTTCCCTTCAGCTCTTAAACACGCTTCAAGGTCTCTTGAAAAGATTGTTTGACACTAGTTTCAGTTCACTGACATCGACAGATGTAATTGCATCACGAATGTTTTACTTAAGTTCATCCAATTTGAGGAGATTATTTGAATACATTTTGTCTTTTAGACCTTGCAGGCCACAATCCGCGTCTTATCAACCTGCCTTCAAACACTTCGTTTAAAACATTAATGGAATAAGCGTCAGCGTGTGCTGTAGCACCATCTTGCATAAAACAACCATGTCATTTCTTATTCCGTAATGCTCTCAAAAGGGGCCAAAGAATGTCACTGACATAATGCTCGGAATTAATAGTGTTTTAAAAGAAATATGGGTCCTACTATTCGTGAAGCAGTAATGACATACCACACACCAATCTTCTGATCGTGAAGGGGCATTTCAAAAGTCTATCTCGGATTAATATCGCTCCAATACCTGTTGTTTTGAGTATTGCTATATCCACTCAGATGGATCCAGGCTTCATCAGTGAAAAACGTATGTTTTGGGTCAAGAACACCGTCATGTACTGTTCTCTCGAGCTGCGCAGTAACGGGCTGTGTGGGTAGCCCGTATGACGTGTAAGCCGCTAGCAGCTGGTTTCAGCATGTTTTTATCAAGGCCGGGGATACTCGATTCGGTCATTCGAGGAAGTCTCTGTATATATGCAATGATTTGTAAATTGATAATGGTTTATTATTTTGTGTCTTTGTACCAACGAAAATAAAGATAGCTACTGTTTCGCAGTACAAAATGGATGGTATCAAGGTGGAGCCTGATTCAGAAGAAGAAACTAATCCATATGACGTTGACATTCAGCACATTGACATGAAACAAGAGGAGGCAGAACCAATGAGTTTTGTTGAAGTGAAGTGTGAAGTAGAGGTGGGCCATGTTGTTCTTTTGAGACATTAGTGTAACCACCCTGAGCTGTAGCTGGTTAGTGGCTACATTCCTTACATGTATTTGTGCAAGTCATACAAAATTTGAACATTCTTACAGTTTAACTGCTGCCAGTAGTGTAAGGTGGCATGGCCTGGAATAAACTTAATTTTTTCCATATTTATGGATTTTCTGCAGCTTGTGACAAAAGTAAAGTTTTGGATTTTCCTGATCATATGCATGGAGAAAGTTTTAAACAGAAATCTGGCCTTGTTTTTATTTAGGTACGTTTTCATCCTTGCGGAATGCCTATTAAAAGTAACTTTGTCCTTCTGTTTGTATAACAATTCAGTAATGGGTGCGTGGATTTTCATGAAATGAGTTACTGGGGAATTTGTCAAACCATTTCAATTTTGGTTGAAATTGGCCAGCAGTATCAGGCAACTTACATAAACAACTGCACATATTCCTGCAATCTGTGTAAGTAATGATGTCATTATCCATGATGACATGATCACTGACTCCAGCTTTGTTAAAAAAATAAAAACAAATTTATATTATCACTGTTTTTTTTCCCATTGTACCAGACTTTGAACAGTGTTGTTCCATTATATCAGCATGGTACAACTGGTGGCCTGCGACCACTTGTAATCTGGCCCGCGAAAGTATTTAATTTGTTACTAGTTGGTACAAACCCATTTATTCAAACCTGATATTCCATCAGTGGTAAAAGAACATTCTGTTCAGTGCTCTCACTAAAGCCATTGACTTTAAAAACAAAAGATGTACATTCTACTAATACAAATTGTTATTGTATTAGTTACAAGCTATTAAAGTAGAGGAGTTCAAATTATTTTTGTAAGTTTTCCAGATAAAAATTGTGAGACATATAAGCTGTTGCAGGAGAAAATTTAAAATAATAACTAAAGTAGTTTGTGCATATTAAAATAAAATTTATATTTTGCCATATTCAATGGTAATTTGTCATTTCTGAATAATTATTATTAAAGCTAATGACGATGCAACATTAGTGACAGTAGGGGTTTCTTGGACCTTGAGTCCAACAGGAAAACTATTTGTAGCTGTACATAAGCTATGTTTCATGGTTAGTAGAGGTTAAAACTCAACTTGAATGTAAAACGTTATCATACATTTTATTTCTTGAGCATTTAATCAAAAGAATTCATAGTTACAAGGCTCTGTTCATTAAGCTGATCTGTTCTGACCATAACAGTGAAAAGACTGGTTCATTTCATAAATACATACTATTGTTTTACTTTGCAGTTTGCAGAATACTGGATGTTGTTCTGTTGGACACTGTGAGATCAGTACTCTTGACATATTTTACTTGTGTTGTAAGTCATATAGTAGCATATCAAATCTGAAAGTTCTTGACGATAGTGATGAGTCATTTGAATAAAAATTTTCTTGGATATTATCCATCGTCTAGTAAATAGAATATAAAACATAAAACGACGTTTCGGAGATAGATAGATAGAGCCCCATCTCTGAAACGTTTTACGTTTTATATTTTATTTACTAGACGATGGATAACATCCAAGAAAATTTTTATTCAAATGACATATAGTAGCAGCTTATTCTTCTTTGTTACAGGAAGGTTTAGCTGAAGAATATCAGCCAAGTAATGATGAAAATGGGGAACATCTTGAACTTTATGGCTACAGGTATGTATAATGTTTATCTCTTCTTACTATAGTCATCATGCAATTTTTTTATTAAGTTGGCTCACAGTTTTTTCCAGGCATGAAGACAGTGCATAGATATCAACTGCTTGCACCATATTTTTAATCTTCAGGATCTATCCACTGCCTATTCTTCTTCTTTTCCTACTGAAGAGTCATTTACAGGCCAGCTTTGTTCTGATTTGCAGAAGTCCCTTCTGGTTATCAAATTCAATTGAAATAAAATATCTAACACATACACAGTTTCACTGGAAATTTCCGCTCTTGACACTGAAAGAAATACAAGCTTGTAATGATTTGAAGATGCAGCCATCACTTGACATAAGTGATAGAGCTCACGAGACAAGCTCATCATAGAATTCCTGTGTAATATCTAGAAATGTATGGTAAATTGCTTGTTATAGAAATGAGATGTGGTATGTAGTTTTCCTTAAATGGTTCCATTCATATGGAGACAATATATAATATTATTATATATTATGGTGATTACTTGGACTACAATATATTTCTTCTGCATTAGAATTTCCAGACTTTATCTTCTTCTTCTTCACTTCTCTAAGATGTTTCCACTTGAATTGGATAATCACTTATCAGATATAAGGTAAAAAAATTTACTCCCTTAATTTCTTGTTTCACATTCTTTTGAGAATGACTGGAAATGCTAGTGTATATGGAAACACTGGAGTTTGCGGCCACTATTTAACTTTTCTGCATATGTAAAAGACAGTGGCTGTAGTGAGTCATGAAACTGATCATTATAATTAATCTTTAAACACGTCTATACTCTATCTGAACATTTTTGGTTAACATTCTTATTTATGGACTACAACTGAAAGTACTTTAAAGGCAAGACAAAACAGAACGTGCAGCTATACTCTTGTGAATTGATGGACTGAGTAGAGAAGATTTAAAAGATAAAATTAAATGTCCAGAAAAATTTAAAAGTCAGGAGATGGTACTCATGGTGTATATATAAGCTAGTTCTTGATGTATACAGTATGTTCACTGATAAAGTTGAACATAAATTTTGATTCCTAACACATGGCAGGAACTTCTGTAAGAAATATAAGTTGATTTTATTGTGTTTATGGAGCAATAATTGACTTGTATTGGGAAAATCCTGTAGCATTTGGTAGTGGATCATTTAGTTCCAACTGGAAACATGATATGGTAGTTGCGTTCAGCGTTATTGGTGAACACGTTGTATATGATACAAATTAAGTCTTGTACATCATTATATTCTTCATTTGCCGCATTCATTGTATCACAGACCTCATACACAAATTTCACTTTAATGATTTTATCTACATTTTTACCAATTTGAGTATCCTGTTGTCAAAAACTGCAAGTAATTGAATTCTGATTACCACATGCTTGTATCTTGCATGTTTAGCTATACTAAACTGATAAGTAAAGTGTTTTAAGGTTGCTTGTAAATGACTGGAGTAGCTTTTTTGGTGTTTTGCAATATTCTTTTTAACAAAGTGGTAGAAGCTCCAAACCCAGATCTCATCCATATATGGTTCCAAATGTTTCTCTGACATTCTCATTTGAAACTGAACACATATTTTTGTAGCTGTAACCTGAAAAATCACTGACTGAAGACAAAGATATGCCATGTGAAATTGCTGTGTACATTTTTGTTTAATTTTATTAGAAATGAAATCTCCATATAAATTAGTCCAATAAAAATTATGTATTTTGCCCTAAGTACAGGCTTGGATTTACAGAGGATCTGGGGTACACGGAATGTAGAGGCCCCTATCAGTAACAACAAATTTAGGCCATATTGCAATTACTTATAAATAAATGATAATTAAGTATCATGTCATCAGTCTGCTGGATGCTTTTTGCCATAAAAGAACTTGGAGTTTATGGAGGTGCTGGGCAACTGCCCTCTGGTTGCTCCTCCATAAATCCATCCCTACTTAAGTGGCATTATTTATTGCTCCTTCTTTCAAAGTTTAATTATGATATTATGTATAATGGGAAATAAAGAGCAAAGTAATATGGCCTCTTATCAAGTGATGTCCATACTAAGAGTAAAGACACCACAAAAATGTTTTTTAGATTCCTTCATTTATCAGGCATTGTCATGCTATATGATTTCATATAAGTAATTGGACTTGAAAGATCAACACTGGTGTTATCAATACTTTTTCCCAATCTGGATTATTGTATACATTTGTCCTGCTCAGAGTTAAATAAATTTCATTTTGTTTATTGTAGCTGTGCTTCCAGTGCAGGCACACTAGCTCTGGCTGGAGACACTGCCTGCAATGTGTGCAGGAAGCAGTTCTCCTCCAGAAGCAAACTGAGGAAGCACATGATGATCCACACGGGAGAAAAGCCATTTCACTGTGAGGAGTGCGGCAAACGATTTATCGATCGTGAGCATTTAAGGAGACATTCCCGCGTTCATTCTGGAGAAAGACCATTTCAGTGCATCGTGTGCAAGAAGCAGTTCACAGACAACAGCATCTTAAAAACACACTCCCGCATCCACACAGACCAGTCTTACCAGTGTTCTGTATGTTGCAAAGTGTTCTCATCTGAGTGGGACCTGGGAAAGCATTACCGCATTCACACGGGCGAGAAGCCGTATCGTTGCATTATTTGCGGAAGACAGTTTTCTCGAAATGATTACCTACGGAAGCATTCTATAACCCACACTGGGGAGAAACCGTTTCAATGTGATGTATGCAGGAAACAATTTTCGCTGAAGGAGGGCTTGCAGCGGCACTCGCGCACACACAGCGGAGAGAGACCCTTCGAATGCGCTGTATGCAGTAAGACGTTTATTCGTCGGGAGCATTTCAAGAGACACTTTCGTATGTCTTGTGCACGTGAGAATATTAGTTGTCAGTAAACCTCTCTGAGAACAGTCTTGGTTATGTATGAGACAATAATTTCCGTGTCATTTTCCTAGTTTCATAATAAGATCAACACATTGCATAGATATGGCATGAAGCTTTTCTCATTAATACTGCTGCAGTGTTGTACACATAGTTTTGTGTGAAACAGCAGTACAATTTTTCAAGAAAACATGTTTAGAAATTGTGTCACAATGATTGTGGCCGAGTGTTGTTTTCCTGTGTGGTACAATGCAGTTTGTACTGTATGAACGTTGCTCAACGCAGAGTGACTTTTTCCTGTGTGGAAACTGCCTACAAGCTCAAATAATTTGAGCTAGCCACTTTCTTCCCGAACCAGGGAAAAGCACATTTTGAGTATAAATTACAAAATTCATGTGGTCATGTCGTTTGAGGATCCAAGTGAATTAGCACCACATACTAGGCAGATGTGGATGGGGGATATCTATTTGAATAGATAACTAGTGGTCAAATGGTTACAAGTTCTACAGCTATAGGGAATATGAATTCATGATTACACATTCTCTCATACATTGTTCCCGCTGATGAACTGTTATTGAGAGAATTGTTTAATGACTTAAGACTATTGATGTGTAATATTGTTTTTGTAATATATCTGGGAGTGACTGACAAGCAATTGCTGTATGTACTGAAGGTTTCTACCATCGGGCTGATATGAAGTAAAGTTTTGCTGTAGACATTTCCTATTATCTGTAGTAGATTTTGACTGCAATGTTTCAGAGGCTAACTGTTTTGTTTTCAGGTAAGAAATGACGGATGTAGTAGTAATAATTACTCTGTTGGACTTTTCACATTTGTGGGCCCCAGCAGGTACTGCATATCTGTGATAGCTGATCATTTTAGTAAGACTGCCTTCTAGGTACTTTTATGACAGATATATGAGATAAAATATGAATACTATTTATTATTATTGAGCTGGATGAACTGGCGGTATTACTCTGTCTGGTACCTTGGTGATACTGTGCTTGTTTCATAATCTTCATGATCTTCCTATCTCATTTGTTACTGTACAACCTCAGCAGTTGAAATAGCATAATTAAATAATGTAACTTGGTGTTTTGTACACTGACTTGTTCCAAATGCTGATTTGGGATCTGCAGATAATTTGAAAGCTGATGTCATGTAATTGTAGAGGCACAGCTGATGAAGCTCTGTGGTTTGAAGTTTCTCTTCATTCTGCATATGGTTTTCTTCACTACCTATTGTCTCTTCATTAGTTTACTGTAAGAACTAACAGACCCTGACTAAAAAAAACTCTAGTTCTAGCTAGCCATTCAAATTCCATGTCAGCTGTGTATTTTCAGCTTGGAATTAAGAAGAATGAAATAAGTGGGGCATGCAGCGCGCATGGAAGGGGCTAGAGGATTGCACCAGCTATTGGTCGGGAAGCCTAAGGGGATGACCCCGCTGGGGAGGCCTAGACGTAGATAGGAGGATAATATCGAGAGGGAGATGGCAGTTGAAGGCGATTGGATTATGTTGGCCCAAACACGGACTGGCGAAAGACCTTTATTAATTCTGTGATGAACCTTCGCCTTCCTTGAGTAAGTTAGTACTCGCGAAAGATGTCGCTAGTTGCCAAAGAAACTCATTTACTCTTAGGAAAGGAAAGTTAATTTTCTGTGCCCACAGTATGGCCACGTTCCGCAGATGTAGTTCCGATTACATTGTATGTGTTCTGTAAATGAAATGCAATTACGTTTTTCGTTTGGGTAACCACATCATGTAAGCTTGAATGAAATAACTTTTCGAATTTGTAACAAATGTGTACATATAGGTGATCTGTATTTGTAATGAACCTAATGAAATATATGTAAGACATCTTCGATTACTAGTGATTAATTAAATGCAATCAGAACATATTTGACATCTGTAATCTGTCAGACTCGAGAAATTCTTTACATGGTGTTCACTGTACCGTGTGAAAAGAAATAATGCTTTGGGAAATTAGGTCATAATAGTATTTCGGGTTATGTAGTAGGTTCGTAACCGCGGTTATCAAAAGATCAATCTGAACTTATATTTTGTGCTGCGATATAAATACTTGTGTGACCAGGTATCACAAACATTAGAGAATTGGCTATTTAAATAACAAAAGTTAATTATCTTTACAGCAGATATTATAGTTTATTTAATTATAGTTGATTTTAAAACGCAGCACCTGTCAACATTGTCATTTGTATTAAGCGCAAGCCATCTTTGGTTAGCCACACAGGTTACGTTTACAATGCTTACAATTTAAAATTTGTTGAACTAAGAAAAATTTATGCTGCCTTGTGTAACTTGTTGGACTTTAATAAATTATACACATCGAAAGCAACGTTTAGAACCTTTCTTTTTCTCAGGGTTCTTTTCTTGATAAGTAATGTTCATATAAGAACATCACTTTTAAGAAAAAATAAATATGTTTTATTTTGAAGTTCATTGTTTTCCTATGCAACATTTGATAGAATATAGAAAGTTTAAAATGAAATCACATATCATGAATTTGCTTTGTATTCTGGTAAAGGATTTCAGGATGGGCATTTACAATTGATTTTAAATTTTAGTTGATCTTTAATGAATATGACCATTACATCTGATATATTGGAGAACTTTGTCCCACACAGCACAGAGAACTAAAATTAGAACTTTGTACAGTTTTGACACATTTAAATACAATCATGCTGTGCTTTATAGAAGTAACTCTTTCGAATCACATGAATATACAGTAGTTTTAAAATGACTCAAAACAGCTGTGGATTGGCAGCTAATTAATTAAAGGTTGCATGTCAAGTTTCTCTTTCATCTCAGTTATTTCATACATCTGTAATACCAATGTTCTTTGGGCAGTGGTAATAAATACTTTTGTTATATTTCTCAACAACTATCTTTGATAATATGAAAATGCTTTACTTCATTTAGTATATTATTGTATATATTTGATATTGCAAAACATGCCAAATTAAATAGTACTGAAAATATACATGGCTTGACACTAATTTCTCTCTTTCTATTATGTCATTGCCTCTTGAATCTGAATTTGGATTGGCTCTCAAAATTGATGATCTGCTTCTTAGAAAGCTGATACAAAATTGAAACCTTGTGCACTATTCATAATTTTTATTAAATAGACATGGTGTATCTTTTTCGAGTATCCCGGGTTCTATGTTTAAAAATGTCATCCCAGGCGTATGTGGAGTCTGAATTATGATGTAATGTTTGCAGTGCAGCATGGATGCAATTAAAGCAGAGCCATATTCAGAAGATGAAACAAATCCATCTGATAGTGACATTCAGCAGGCTGATACAAAAGAAGATCTTTCTGATCCATTCTCGTTTGTTGAAGTCAAGTGTGAAATAGAGGTGGGCCAGTTTTCAGAAAATGGAGCATCTTATTACAGTTTACTTTTGTGTTTCCCTCCACACTGTTGAGTTGCACCAAATATTTTTATTTATTAGTATTTGATGCGAGCCATAAGAAGAATTTCTAATAGCCCAAAGCTTTCTAAAACCACCCCCTAATTATTTCATATTAAATTAACTGTTCTAGATTTTTGTTTTTCTTCCTGTGTAAATAATGTTTTATTTTCAAAACTTAGACACTGCATTGAAACTTTAACTATTAATTTGAGGCATCCCATAAAATGTTTGTCATCTGTCATGGGTATCAGAAAGTTACTGGTGAGATGTAGTGGAAAATATAAGTTTTTATCGCCATTGGCCAGTTTCCTTATGCATCCAAGACTCAGTTTTGAAATTTATATTTTTCTGTTTCTTTGCCTAATATTTAGAGTCATTATGGTAAGTAATTAAAGATAACACCACACCTGATTTCATTATGTGATGCCATTTCTGTTTTGCAGGAAGAACCACAGAATGAAAATAAATTGGGGAGTAGTGAGAAGTGTGAGCCATGTAACTACAGGTAACTAACTCCTTGCAATAGAGCTCTTCTTTAGTAGCTAATAGTCATTCAGCTAATCATGAGGTTCAAGGAACCACGGGTCTATTACTGCTT